AGTACGGATCGCTTGATATGCTATGCATTATGTAATGGCACAGACAAGTCTTAAATAGTTTTGCCTTAAGTTAATGTTTATAGTATAAAGAAGTTTGCCTGTAGCTGTGGAAAATTGTTGAAAAGTAAACGGCACACATGAAATCAGAGAGCGTAGCAAGCAAGTTAAATAAATAGTTTCGCTTTTGTTCCCTGATTTGCACGTTCCAAATGTATAATGCAGTCGCCGTTGCAGTCGCTGTTGGCGTCAGCGTTGACGTCGCCGTTGGCGTTGGCGTCATTGTCAGCTGTCGGTTGACTGCAACAGCAAATGGGGCAAACGCGAGCACAAAGTGCATACTAAAGACGTGACCAAGACGCCACAAAGCAGAAATGAAGAGCGACGTTTAACGTGGCGTATGCGCAATATGCTTGCAGTTGGTCAGCAACACTGTTCATATCTGTATGACAGCATAAGGCGTCGCAGTCGACGCAAGACGTGTTCGATGACTCAAAACTGTGGGCAGACAAAGAGACAGACGGCGTGAGGAATGGGCGAGGGGGGCAGTCACTGAATCGCTGCTTATCAGTGACAAAGTTTGCTCAAGCCGAGGCACCTGTAAACATGAACATGAAAACCGAGAGCCAAACTGTAAATGAAACTGAAATTGGCTGCTATTTTTTTTTTCTGGTCTGCTTTTTTTTTTCGTTTTGTTTGAGGGCTTGAACGCGTCGCGTCGATAAGCTGGGGCGGGTGGAAAAGGGGAAAAGGGGTGGGGCTAGGCAGGGTAGGGCAAGTCAACGTTTCTGGCCAAGTCAAGGAATGGCAAGCAATTTTTGGTCGTTGAACACGTTTTTCAATTTCCGAACACAACAAATTTGCTGTGTGTGTGTGTGTGCTGCGTGTTAGAGTGCTGTAAAACAATGAACATTTTTAAATTGGTATCTTTGGCATATTCTTGACCGCCTTTTTGCTGTGCAATAAAGTGGAGCAGGCACCAAACGGGCAACAACAAATGAATACAATTAAAATTATTTATTAGTGCGACGATGCTGCTGGTGCTGGTGCTGCTGCTGTTGCTGCTCGAGTTTGCCATCTTCAAGTACAGCGGCAGGAAAATTGGCCTCAACAGTAGCCAAGAATGAAAACAAATTCAAAGATGGCAACAGCAGCCGCAGCAACAACAACAGGCGGCATATTTGGCCATGCCTTTTTGGCCATTTGCCAGCTACTTTTTGGTGGCTGCCGCCCAACAAGAGGCAGAAAAAGAAGAAGAGCCCCTTGTATCCATCTCCTCAACCTCGGCCAAGTTGGCTTTGGACTAAAGCTTATTTATGTGCGTTGGCTGCAAAATATGGCGCACAATTTTTGTTTGCTTATTTACTGCAGTCTACAACAACAACAACAACAATGCCAAAAAAGAACAGCGAAAAGCTAATTGGGTGGGTGGGCAGCAGCGGCACCCAGAACACCCAGAGATGCAATATTCTCTGCATATTAAAGATAAAATATATTTTGCTGCGCTAAAACAAAAATTATGCACACTTTTGATTTATCCAAGGGATGTGTGATGTTTTTGAAATGTCGAAAATATCGATAGTTCTATATAAATATATAAGTATGATTTTGTATACTAAGGATTGTAGATTGTAGAGACATATCAGCTGCCTTGGCTGGATATCGGATCGTTCCGATATGTCCAAGGTATTTTAGTTCTCTTCCAGCAAAGGAAGAAATGGCAGAAGAAGTGTTCATATTCTTTGTAAAGATAGTTTCGACGGAGACTCACTTAAACTTCAAATACTTTTATCGTATGTGTTTTCTATTATTAAACTTAATCTGAACATATTTGTTACTGAGGATTGCGCAATCAGTAAATGATATTCGATGTTTGAGGAGATTTGGGCAATCAAAATGTGCTTGTATTTAACTTTGGAAGACTCATATGAACACTTGTGAGGACGAAGAAGAAGAATTTCCAGAACACTTCTGATTAAGCACCATGGGATGCTCTCGTCTAACCACATATCACACAAGTGAGATTGCGAAATTTGGCTGGACCCACTTTTGATTTATCAAAGAATTGCAAAGCATCTAAATTACCGTAACACAATGGACCAAATCTGTACGTCGGCTTTATAGTCGACAATCAATCCTATCTTACTTAACCTAACCGTAACAGTAGCTCCTCTTTGTTTTTGAGTTAAGAGCTAATATTTATATGCACTTATTTTTCAATACTGTTTACAGTTAACGAATAACAAGCGTCTTGCAACTGAATTCAGCTGCATATTTGCTTAACCTGGTTTAGTCAGACGGCAAAAAAAAAGAAGTAACACGCAAACAAGAGTCTTCACATTCTTCAGCTCATCCTATCTACCATAATAAAGAGCGGAAACTTCTTGACAATACACACGAAAAAAAAAAAAAACAAAAGAAAAAGAAAATGTTTTTGAAAGGCATTTAAAGTCTTTTAAAGTCTTATTCTTATCAAACTTGAAGCAGCAGCAGCAGCAGCAGCGAAGAGCGCTAAAGATGAGGAATGTTGAGCCAAATGTTTCAACATTTCAGTAGAGCGAAATGATAAAGCAAGTCACTGAACTCTCAATAAATACGCCCAGACATTCAACACACACACACACACAGAAACATATATTTATATGTACTGTTTACATGCTTATCAGTAGATTTGTGCCGTGTCTAAATAATTGCCAAAAAACAAAAAATAAATTAATAAATAATTAAATAAATATTTTAGCTGATTTTGATAACTAGCTGAGGCGTGGGAAAAATTACAGTTTTACCTGTTGGCCAGTTTTGCAAAGGTTAATGCGCCCAAAGTGATAAGCGGGCAAATCGAGTTCGACAAAGGCCAAACAGTCGAATGTGAATAAACTGTGGCACTTTGATGTATTACCCGTAGAGATCAGTGCAGCAGCAGATCTACTTAATTACGTACTTTATGCTCAGGCTCTCGCTTCCCAAATTAATTAAGAAATTGTCACATCAATCAGGCGCCCACTTGCCGCTCGTCGTTGTTCTCGTTGTTCAAGAATTTTGAAATAAACAAATAAAATGCAGAAAATAGATTTACGAGTCTCGCAAATTTATGACAGATGTAAAAATTGTCAGCACTTTTTATGGCCCACGTTTTTGACGCTTGACTGAAGTCTGAAGAGCATATCCGATGAGTGACCAGCTGGCCATATCCATGGCCCTGACTGACTGGTTAGCGACAGGCGAGCTTTGTGCATGCCAACCGCCGCCCTCATCCCACATCCCCTCTGCCCATCAGTTCCCTCCCCCCCCTTACACAGTCAGCAGTGCTGTCCACGACAAGGCAACAAAGTTTAAAAACACTTGCGTTGATAATGAGAAAAGTTCTTTTATATTTTTGCACAGTTCTTTTTCCATTATTTCGCATGTTTTCTTTGTGCTGTTGCAACCAAGACAAAAGTCTTGATGATGATTACGATGATCCTTGGGTTTGTAATAAGATATGCTCAGGCACTCCGCTAAGCAGCATTTCATTTATACACACATATATTTATATATATATATATATTTATATATATATATATATTTATATATATAGATACTTGTATTTTTTAGGTTTCTTTGTTACTCGCACACAGGTGTGCTTCTGTCTATTATTCTTGTTTTTATTTGTATATTTGACTGAAGAGGCAATTTCTAATAAGAGCCTATGATTTTGTGCTTATAGTACTATATATAAATGCTAAACACCACTTAATTTAAGTGAAGCAGATTTGTGGAATTAAGATTTGTAAGTTGTCGCTCTGGAAAATTGAAACTGGTAATTGCAATTTATCTAAATATGTGCATGAATATGTTTTATCTTTGAGAAAATATGTTATTTTAAAAGAAAACTACTTTAAATATATTTTTCTTTTCAGTTAATAGAAGATATAACTTTGATCTGAGACTAACAAAATTCTTTCATATCTTTTTAATAATTAATAATTTACTAGAATTAAACATGTTTAAAAATGTGTGACCACAAATTTAAATGGACAATTTTGATACGTTCTCAGTCGTAAATATTTTCTTGTTATAAAAATCAAAATGCCAAAGAAAAGTACATTAAAAATGAAATACGCTCATTTTATATATCTGATAATCAAATTGTTGAGCACTCGAGGCTTCTTCAGACCTTTGCAAAATAAACAAGCGGTACGTATGCGTAATAAAGTATACGTAATTTTTGATAATTTTCGCCATTAAAAACTTGGCCAAGCACTTATGAATGAAAAGAACATTTTTACAGCACTCAAGTTGTAAATTACGAACCTTTTTACGAAGTGTTCTTTGTTTTGGCAAAGAGTGTAAGCCTTTTCTCTGCTACTGCACATGTATCCAAAAATAATCCATAGAAAACAGAAACGCAGCACAGAAAAACTTTTTGTCTAGAAGAAGAGTCCAAGAAGTTAGCACTCAATGCACTTTAATGCGAAACTAATCCACAAAACTGTCACCTGTTATAAATACATATACAAAAAGTATATATATATATATATATATATGTATTTATATAGTGTGTGTGTGTGTGTGTGTATATATATCCAAGAGACGCCCTCGAAAGTAACGAATGCCGAAAGGTTGCGTGAAAAAACTCAACGCGCGAAGAGAAAATGCACAGGAGGAAATAAAAATAATGTATGCTTTTTTCTACAGAGTGACGGAAAGTGCAGCAGAAATTTTCAATTAAAATTGCAGTATGGAAATTTTAAAATCCGATTGCATTGTTTATGTTTTTCCAAACACATAGTATATTTATATTTATGTTTGTGTGCGATTTTTGCTTGTTTGATTTTTGCAATTTACATTTCGCACTTCACTTTGACACTATTCACAATTTGTTGATAGTTTCAAATTTTATTTGAATACATTTTGTATTTTTCCCATTTTTTTTTTTTTTTGGGAGTCTGTAAAAATTTTAGCAAAAATGTTTGCTGCGTTATTTTTAGAATCGGGCAATGAAACTACAAATTTTCACTCACTTGTGGAAAATGCCGCTGCACACACTTTTTGTATTTTTGTTGTTGTTGGTTTTCGATTGGTTGTTGGATTTAGTTGGTGTTGTTGTTGTTGTTGTTGCAGTTGTTTTTGTTATTTTTGCAGTTGCTGGTGTTTGTCACTTTCGAGTTTTTACCCTTTGCATTTGGGGGTATTTTTATAGACCGCCAAAGGAAAAACTCAACGCGTTGCGATATAATTTTTATTTTTATTTTGTTGTGTTTTGCTGTTGCTTTTTGGTCCGTTTTATTTTTAGCGTTTAAATTCTCTGCGGTCAGCGATTTAAAAATAACAATAGCAGCTCCGCATGGATTGCACTTTAGTTGGACATGGACTTTAAAGCTGATGCTTCATCAGCAGATGAGATGTTGATAACTCCAAGCGAGAACTTAAAACTTGAAAACTCGCGCCACAAAAAATTGGATCGCATTATTTTTTGGAACTTGTGCTTGGGTTCTTGGAAAACATGTGCTCAGTGTTTTCGTTTTTATCAGCTTTCACACTCTTTTTCTTTTATGTTTGGTATTTATATATATATTTTTTTTTATTTTCTTTTTGTGTGTTTGTTTCAGTCTGATATTGAAATTGAGTTTCAGTTACAGTTCTTCTATGGCGGCTGACTTTTGTATTTGTCCAATTCACCGCTCCGGCGTTCTACTCACTTCGATGAACATCTTGTAACTATTTTCAAAAAGCGCACGAACGCAGCTGCAGAGCAACGACGGCAACGACGGCAACGGCGACGACGACGCTGCGGAGCGCACAAAAATCAAACCAGCAGCAGCAGCAGCAGGCAGACAAACGAAACCGAAACCGAAACAGAGACCGAGACCGAGACCACCACACAACAGCAACAACAATAACAGCAGCAGCAGCAGCAGCCAACGACAGCGCCAACTCAAGAACACACAACAGCAGCAGCAACAACAACAGCAACAGTCGTCGCTGTGTGTATGTGTGTGTGTGTGAGTCAAGAGCGCCAGAGAGTATAATTCAAAGTTAAAGAGCCAACGCAAGAGAGCGCCGCTGCTTGTGCTTTTGTAAACGCAGGCAAGCCACAAGAAAGAAAAAAATAACAACGAAGCGTAGCATCCGCGTGCTGCGCTGTTGGCTACTGAAGAACTGAAGCACTGGCTAGCCGAACCGACCAGCAACAGCAACAGCAACAGCAACAGCAACAGCAGCAGCCGAAGCCGAAGTCAGACGAATTGTAATACGATTCGTGAGTGGCGGGCAGCTTCGTGCGCGGGCGAAGAGCGCCATGATTACTTAAGCAGTGACTAACTAACAGCTAACAGTGTGGAGCGCACGAGCCAAATATGTGACAGCAGAGCCAACGGCAGAGGCAGCCGCAGCCCCAGCCGCAGCAGAGACAGAGCCAGAGACACCAACAGCGGCTAAGCCAAGTCAAATTGCATACATATGAGAAGTGTACATTCTGTATTCTGCTTATTTGGCAGCACTGTTAGACGGTTAACAGCGCTGTTGTGTGGCCATAAAGCCATGTGGTGGTCAACTAAGCTTTGAGCCATTTCGAATTGAGTGTCGCATTTAATTAGCTGGAATTGTCATCACTAATAGCCTGGCAGTTATAATTATTTCATCACAAAGTTTGACAAACGGGCGGGCGGGTCACTCAACACAAAATGGCCGCAAGCGAATTTTGTTCATTAAAATCACAAAAAAAATATAATTAATAAAAAAAACGAGAACAACAGCAGCAACTGTGATAGCGGCAACATAAGTTGCAACAACAATAACAAAAGCCCCGAACGAAGCCACTGACAGGCAACAATGCAAAACTTAAGTACAATAAGCGCTTATTAAATGTGCTGAATGCGAATAAACTTTTAGCCAAATAGAAAATGGCGACCGTAAGGACGACGACGCTGACGGCGACGCCGACAGCGACGGCGATGAGCATCGCGAGCATTGAAAAACAATGGCGGGGAATTCGCATTGCGGAAACCAAACGATGCGACGCGACGCGACGCTTGTTGCCACTTGGGAGCCGTCAGTCACCCACAAAAAAAAAAATAAAATAAAATAAAATGCCAGCCGCCCATCCCTTGTAAGTCATTTTCATTGGGGCCTGCTGAAAACAAAGCGAGCGTATAATGTTACGCTATTGGGGCAGTGGGTGGGGTGGCAGGCGTGACAACAGTGGCCGGCTTACGCTGATCTAATTGGGTTGCCAGCGTAAGTTTTCGGTAGCACCACAACCTCCACCCATCAAAAAGTTATGAATTGTTCAAGCGCAAAGGGTATAAAATTCAGCACAATACCATTTAAGGGCAGTTATAAAATATAATATTAAGTTCTAATGCATAAATCAAATGTATCTTTCTCTCTCTATCTCTCTCTGAATGGGTCTATCTCTTTCATTCGCTGTCGCTAGTCGCATATTGATTAATGAGTCTTGAGCAGTTGCACATTGCTTGGCACTTAGCACGTGCTGCCGGGGATCAAATTCAGGTACAAGGACAACACAAACGCCTGGCAAGCAAAATAAAAAAAGAAGAAGTTATTTATGGGCGCCTCAGAATGCAATTTGTTGTGGTCAACAAATCGCCATACAAATTGCGACCGAGAGATCATTAGAGGAACAGAGATAGAGACAGATTGAGACCCAAAAGACAACGACGACAACGACTAAGTTGATTAGTCACGTCCAAAGAATGCCAAAGACTGAAAAAATTAAAAAAAAAAAATAAAGAAAAAAAGAAGAAAGATGCTTTGGCACCCCAAAAGGTGAGGTTCCTCCAAAAATCAAATGCGCTAAAAGCGGCCAAGAAATCAGCTTAAGCCAAATGGCGTTAATCCATGAATTATTGCCTAAAAGCATGCCAAAGCGCATTAAGTTTTTGACTTTGGCTCTTGGCGCAGCAAAGCAGGTAAGCAGACAGACAGCCACAGGACAACACAACAATAGCAACAACAACAACAACAGGTAGTAGTTGAAGGCTTATCCTGAAAGGGACGAACACTTCATACTCTTTCTTTGCTGGATATCAAAAAATTGTTGGATAGGTTTTGTTGCAAACGCATTACATGATTTTATTTGCCCAACTTGTTTGCCATTTTTTTTGTAAAAAACGAATAAGTTTACTAAATTTTACAGTCTCTGTTAAATGGATGCGGTTCAAAAGAATTTAAACATTTTCTTAAGACTTATAAACTTACTAAAATATACTGCTCGTCTTAGACAGTTTATAAGAAGTAACTAAATCCTTTGTAATTTTGCTAGAGATATAATGCCCAATATATAAATAATAAGATAATTAAAACATTGAAAATCTCTCTATAGATATAATGTCATATATATACACATACATATACATAAATAAATAATAAATTATTATAAAATAATGTTTTTTTGATTGTTTTAAAACCAAGCCAAGAAAATGTGTTCACACAAATTAAAAACGTTGATTATTTAATTATTTTAATATTTGTTCATCCTTAGCTCATCCTTAATATATAACAGACTGTTCACAAATTCTGTGAAAATCATTATACCCATTGTTAGGGCATATTAAAGCAACAAAAGCAAAGCAACAAAAACATTAGTAATGTCCATGAAAGTGCCAATGAATAACACGAAACATACATTTGCTTGCATTTGTATCTGTATCTCAACGAGAGAACACCCAAAAAAAAACAAAAATAAAAAAAATTGAAAAACAAAAAAAAATGCAAACACCAATTGCCAGCAAGAAAGCAAAACAAAATAAGCCCAATTTTTTGACCGCACCCAAGAGCCGAAATCAGAGAAGAGACCCACCAGCTCAACAAGGCACATATTTTGCTGTCCGCTTGTGAGTCGCGAGCGTTTATTTTATTTTTTTTATGAGTATTGACATTATAATCAACGCCGTTTTCAATTTCAACAAACCCCCTCCACAGAAAAAAGGTGCATCCCAAAAAACAAAAGTAAAAACGCAAAATACGTAAAAAGTTCTGTTTGCTTTTTGTTGTTCGTTTTTATCTGCCACATTTTATTTTTTTCTTCGGTTACTTTTCAGGTCGCCTGGCAAAAAATATGTAAATTATGGTTGCAAACAAAAAAAGAAGAATAAAAAAACTAACCATGAGATTGCATGTGTGTGTGTGTGTGTGTCAGTGAGTGTGTGTTTGTGTGGGGGCATGCGTCAGTCACCTGTGGTATTTCATTTTCGGAGATGGTCTCGTTTTTATTGCTTAGTTGCCAGGCTACTTGCCCCTGTGGTCTCGATTTTACCTTCGATGTGTTGCATAGTTGCGAACTTCAGCTGCATGTTCCCCAAGGATTATATACCGTTAATACATTACATTCTACTGTTAGTTACCTGCTGCCTGGACTGGTGTCTGGCATGTGGAGCATATTTATCGAGTTTACTCGCAGCCAATTGGGAATTTCTGTGGCGCTACTGAAACTTTAACTTGCGGCATCTTATTGATGAAAGTAACTTAACTTACTCAAGATCTTCTTGATAATATTTAACAATGTATTATTTTGTATAAAGTTTTCATAGTTGTCTTGAGCAATCTGAAAATCTTTCTTTAAAATGTATTTCGAAATTATGTTTAACACGCATAAAATCGTATAAATAAACTAGGTAGTCACCTATATATATCAAATAATTAACAAATGCATATAATATTTGCGACTTAGACCAAAACAATTATAAAATCACAAGCCACTGATTAACATGGCAATAATATACCAAACATTGCAAAAGACGTCTTATTTACTATTTTCGTATTTACTGCATCTATTTTTAGGCACAATTTTCAGTTAGTAAACATGCTTTTAGTTGCCATGCTACCAAGTTCTGGGCAACGTATTTATAGCATTTGTTATATGATGATGCTAATCTATAAGGTTTTTCAATATTTCGTTATCACTTTTATTGATATTAAATTACGACTTCTGCGCATAGTTGAAACATCTCTGAGAAATGTGCGCTATTTTGGGTCTTATTTCCAATAATATTCGAGCTTTGAGACTTAAACGGCATGAAAAATGCTGTCAGCAGTCAAAATCACGCAAACAAATATGTAAGACAATATTGCAG